GGATTAAAAAGCTGAATGGGCCGCATCTGGCCCCGGGGCTTCAGTTTGCCCATGCCTGAACTAGACTGTCCAGGATATTTTATGCCTTTCTCAAATCTAAAGTGTGATTGGTTAACAGGATTTATTCACAATTTTATACACAAATGTCCTGAGAAATGAATGTATTTGTGTCTGTGTTTCCAGATACCACAGCCGAGGTGGGCACCATTGCAGGGATAGTTAGTGCAGTTGCCATGGCATTGGTGGGTGCCATCAGTAGCTACATCAGCTATCAGAAGAAGAAACTGTGCTTTGGTATACAGCGTAAGGGAGTTCACACACACCACACCCACCCACTTAAACATAATTGTCCTGTTTAGCTTTAGTCATCTTGCACTTGCGTTGGAAAAGGATCACTTTGAACGGCTTTTCCTGACGATACGTGTGTTGTATATCACTAAATGGATTACAGAGGTGTTGTTTATATTAGCAACTAAGTCCTAAGGCACGGGCTCTAAATTAGGGGAAAAGGCAACTGAATGTCAATTTCAGTCATTTCTTTATTGTGCAATGAGCTAAACTCAAAAACCAGTATGAAATCAGCAAAAAGAAAAAAACTTAAAAATTAGCCAGTACAACTCTGAAATTAGCTATAAACTAGTATTTTGTTATGGTAGTCCAATAATCCAAAAAATGATGGCCAGAAACCCCAGCCAAACAACTGTGATTTCATTAGCCAAAAAAAAAAAATGAATATGGAGTTAGCCAAAAAAAGGAAGTTTGCCATAAAAACAACTTTAAAAATAGCAAAATAAAAAACTCGAGCTATAAACCAGTAAAAAGCCAAATACTCACAAATGGCGATAGCTAATCTGAGATTAGCCACAGACTAGTAAAAGTTAGCTGGAACAAAATCAAATATGAAGTTAGCAAAAAAAAAAAAAAACAACAAAAAACTAAGTTAGCAAAAGATAAAAAATGTAGATAAACAAAAAACAAGCACAGGGGAGTAAATAAGTCAGTTGCTGAAAAACCGATTTATTCAATGAAATAAAGGAAAGGAAAAAGTTTTGATATGTTCTTCAAGCATCCACCAAAATGCACAGTAAAGAACAGTGTTAGGCACGTTACTTTGAAAAAGTAATTAGTTAGAGTTAGTAATTGAGTTTAACTCCACTGTAAAAGTAACTAGTTACAAAGGGAAAGTAAGTATTGCATTACTATTTTTTTAAGTTTAAAAATGTAGAGTGAGTAGAAAAGCTAAGGCAGGTACCTGAACAGAGGTTTTAATTTATTGCACCTCAACGATTTTACACAACTTAAGACAACCGTTGGACTTGTGCTTCAAGTATGTTCTTAAAAAGAAAAGTAAGGAGTTTAACAGAAGTGCTTTTAAAATTGTACTGAAAATGTATATGAATTTGTTGAACAAATCCAACTTTAATTCCAAAACATTCATTCATCTATCCATCCATACACTCCTTCCTAACACTCATCCATCCATGCATGCAATCATTCATCCACCCAGCCAACCCAGTCATCTCACCATCTTAGCCATTTAACCAGTGATTTTATTTAGAAAATGTCTTTCTGCACGGTAGACCGGCTCCTCCTCTCTTAGGTATTTTGCCCATGAGGGCACTGAAGGAGTCTGAATCAACTGTTGACAACAGTGACGTGCAGTAAGGTTCATGGCTAGTGAGGCATTTATAATTGTAAGAACCGAAAAGAGCATCTTAATTCACTATTATATTATACTGGTAATTCTTCATATCCATCAGCAATCCTCTTTCAATTACACTTACACCAACACAAACGTATACACAGGAACATATTTGTCCTACCAAGAACGTATTTTTAATAGAAATGGATAGAGCAGCCTTCAGGTGAGGCAGAGTACTGCCTGCCTCCCCTGCTGACCCATTACACACAGACTGTAGAGAGTCATGCTGTATAACAAATATTTCTGTAAAGTTCGTAACGGCAATATGCTGAGGAACAGAAACAGGCGCGCGTCATACGACCCAGCTTGTATTAGATCACACAGTCAGATAAGAGACACAGCGCTCCACTGCCTCACCCGGGATTTCTGCCTTGTATTTGATCGCGAAATACTCAAATTTGGCGATTTTTACTTAATTAAATGTCAAGCGTTTGCCAGTCTCACTGGAAGTCTTTGAAACTAATATTCATAACAGTCATATTTAGGAATGTTTATTTATCTAAATTCACCGCGATTCATTGCAATCATAATCATAATCACAATGAATCATGATGATAATACTTAAACCACATCCTGTGTCAAGATTAAACATTGAAATCGTAGACAACCCTACCAAAAATATTAACCAAACTTTTGTGTACACGACTATTTTCAGACCCCCTCATGTCAACACATTCTCAGATATTACTTCAGTGATTCGCAAACTTAATATTTAAATATCACTGCCAATTTTCATTTAACAAAGGAAATATTTATTAAATAGTAGTAATAACGATACATATAGTATTGATGTAAATGGAAGTGATTGAGTTAAAGATGATCAGTGTAGCTCTCCTCTGACAACTTCTGTCTCCCAACAGAGAGTCTGAACGCTAACATGGAGAAGGCTGAGAACCCCGATGCTGTGGTGGCTACAGAACCACAAGGTAAATACACATTCACAGTTTTTTCATCATTCATTTATAACATAACAATACTTAAGTTGATCATTAGGGTCGGCACCTGACCCTTTTTAAATTTTAAACTTTGACTTTGTCAGGAACCTCTATTTCAACAAAATAAAACGAAAAAAAAAATATTTTCACAAAATTATAAAATGCTCTGGTGGAATTTATGACCTTTGTGTTGTTAGGGTTGGTGTTGACATAGTTATAATAATAGGATTATAAAGCAATAATTAGAGCCAAAGCTAAAATCACAAGTGCTCTGTTAGCTGTTAGCTCCTCTCCTAATCATCTGAGCTTTAGGGGATTCTCATTTTGCGTGGTTTTTCAGTATACCTATACAAAACCAAAACAAACAAAGATGGGCATGCCCAGAGATGTAACGTAAAGCAATAACTAGAGCCAAAGCTAAAATCATAAGTGCACCGTTAGCTGTTAGCTCCTCTCCTAATCGTGAGCTTTAGGGGATTCTCATTTTGCGTGGTTTTTCAGTATACCTATACAAAACCAAAACAAACAAAGATGGGCATGCCCAGAGATGTAACGTAAATTCACTCATTTGAGTGCACATTTACAATTTGCAGCATGCAAAAATTAGGTTGGGGCAGAGGACACAGAGCAGCATAGCGATTTAGATAAGCAGGTTGAGGAGGAAGACAATGTGGAGTATCATCCAGAAGACAGACACATCTGATGATGTCAGATGAGGAGGTCACTGGTGCTGATGCTGCTCCTGTTGAAAGATTCAAGTCCAAAAATGATGTACATGGCAGGGCAGCTGCTGCAAATGTCATCAAAATGGCCCTGGAATCTACAAGGTTTGCTGTGACCAATCATGTTTTGAGCTATTTATGCCATTGTCGGACCGATACCAATCCTCATTATTGGATTGAGCCATCGCTAATCACTTAAGTGCTGACTCACTCTTCTTTGATTGGCTGATTTGAGTATTGGATGGAACTCTAATCACTTAAGTGCTGACTCACTCTTCTTTGATTGGCTGATTTGAGTATTGGATCAAGCCACGCCTTATTTAAATGTGTCGAAGTTAATTTCACCAAATCTTTTTTTTGTTGTTGTTGTTACTCTTTTTAAAAAAAGACAAAAGCAGGGTTTTTTAACATTGTCTTACTTCAGTTCGGTTTTGTTAGAGCCAAAGCTAAAATCACAAGTGCTCTGTTAGCTGTTAGCTCCTCTCCTAATCATCTGAGCTTTAGGGGATTCTCATTTTGCGTGGTTTTTCAGTATACCTATACAAAACCAAAACAAACAAAGATGGGCATGCCCAGAGATGTAACGTAAATTCACTCATTTGAGTGCACATTTACAATTTGCAGCATGCAAAAATTAGGTTGGGGCAGAGGACACAGAGCAGCATAGCGATTTAGATAAGCAGGTTGAGGAGGAAGACAATGTGGAGTATCATCCAGAAGACAGACACATCTGATGATGTCAGATGAGGAGGTCACTGGTGCTGATGCTGCTCCTGTTGAAAGATTCAAGTCCAAAAATGATGTACATGGCAGGGCAGCTGCTGCAAATGTCATCGAAATGGCCCTGGAATCCACAAGGTTTGCTGTGACCAATCATGTTTTGAGCTATTTATGCCATTGTCAAAAAAAAAAAGGGGATCATCATTACTATGATAAATATAAAAAGGAAAAAAAGTCCACGGGACATGTGGAAAGACATTGATGAAGAATACCTGGATGATTTAATTGGTGTTCTTCTTCTTGCTGGAGTGTACAGATCCTGCAATGAGGCCAATGATAGTCTATGGGGGCGCATCGACAGGCAGAAATATTTTCCGGGTAACAATGCCACTTCACACGTTTGAAATGATATCAAGAGTCCTCAGATTTGACAACAGAGAGACGTGACAAGCTTGCTCCTATCAGGGATGTCTGGGAGAGATGGGTGTAGTTCTATTGCTGAAAAAAAATACTTTTTTGGCTCTTTCTCGATGTAAATATATATGAAATTGGTTGAAATTGACCCGTAACACCATAGATGTTACTTTAGTTATTAATATTAAAATGAAAAAAAAAACCAAAAAAAACCAAATGTATTTAAGAGATGTGTTCTATACCACTCAGTAATAGTAAGGTAACATAAAAACTTTTTATTTAATAATGAATTTCAATTTAATGATTTTCTTGAGGTTCATTTTACCATTTTTTTCAAATTGAAATCGATGGGTATACTGACAAAAAAAAAAGACCCAGAGGCCCACACTAAAAGTATTAAAACCAACATTTTCATGGATCAGGAAGCCAAACAAGGTAACCAAGAGATGAGAAACAAAACTGATAGCTTATTGTTTTTAGTCTATTTTATAGCTGATTTAATATATGGGTCAAAACCGACCTGTAAACACAACATGATACCAGAAAGCTAACACAAGAGGAGGGTTAATGAGAATTTTGTTGTCTACCTGGACGACTGAGAACCATGCCGCAAATGTGTTTCAAGATCGTATATGGTCTTTACTACACATACTTGAATGACCAAAATCTAATAAATATGCACAGCCATTTTAGCTAAGTTGCCTTTTTGGGGTAATGAGGTTGATATATTTAGTTAACGTTAAACAGACTTTTGACTGGGGCATTGACAGCAAAACGGATTTGTTGATATGTCAACACGAGTGGCACAAGTAGTATTGTAAATTTCACATTGCGTAAAAATAAAGTATTGTAATGTTATGTTATGACTAACATGAAAAATACATATTGAAACATATTGAAGAAATGGCCAGTATTTGACGTGTTTTATTGGGTTAAATACACACGAAGACAATAAACAATAAATATCGTATTGAAACAAAAATTCTGGTATCGCCAATCACTAGTAGGGAGGGTTTTTCATGTCCGATACCAATACTGCAATTTGGAATATCTGTCGATACCAATATCAATCCAGAACCTTCTTGCCTCTTCCAGCATGCTGCGGGGATCCTCTATTTTAGCCTAATTTAAGTCATGCCAAGTCAATTTAGTTTGTATAGTCTAAATTCACAGATCATTAGTCTCATTGGACCTCAGAATTTTAAATAAGGATTAAAATTAAACTTATCTTTTTCTAGTCCCAGACTGTCCTAGCATCAAGTTATGCCCCTGCCTACGTGGATTCTCGAAAACAAGAAGGTTAGGGTTAGAGTAAGCCGGCCGTCGCTGTAGCGTCGTCTCCCCCGATGCGAGCCGCCTATTCTCGTTTGCGACAAAGCGACAAAGTGGGCTTAGGTATTGGACGGCATATGCTAAAGTAGTTTTTTTCGGTATTTGAACCTGAAATTATGAGCAGTACTGGACCAATTCCTATCCCCATTATCTGATTAAGTCATTGCTAATCACTAGTGTGTGCCAACGCACTCTTTACCTCTGATTGGCTTATGCTGGTGTTGTATCATCGTCTTAACCAATAGTCATAATCACTTCATAAAAAGGGCGGCAACATTACTCTTTGCGGAAGGCGCATACCCATGATTGGTATCGCTGTCGTGCCTTTGTGCAGTCAAGTACACAAAAATGTACGTGCTAAAGTTCATCTTTAACAAATATCTCGAATATTTAAATTAGGGATGGCTCAATAAAACTTTTTTTTATGTCTGATACCGATCCTGGGGCTTAGAGTATCTACCGATACCAATGTTAATCCAATATCTTATTTTTTCCTCCAACAGGCTTCAGACTGCCGTTGATGAGGCCATAGTTTCCCTCTGCACGGCATGTGGCTTAAAGACAAGTTGAGCAATTGGACTTAGTTATCGGATTGCACAGGCCAAAGTTTTTTTTTTAGTTTTTTTTTTTTTTTATGTTCCATCCACAAACTTTAACCATTATCGGACCGATACCAATCCTCATTATTG